TTATATTTTTTTCTTCTCTTGTTTATCATACACCTAATATTACCTAGATTATAAGGTCTGAAGGTGGGGGCTGGTGATGTGTCATACAGAGACTCCTAGTACGGACACCAGTCTCTCACAAATTAATTGTAACATATTAAGGTGTATCCCTGACCAAAATGTTGCGAAAGTGCGTTTTTCAGACTCTATTACCTCATTAGTTATGACAAATAAACTACATCTAAAAGTACATTATTAATTTTCGATATCTTATCATCACATTCCATGTTCTAATTTATTTTATGTGCTATAAATACATTTAAAATCAACTTTTAAAAATGACTAAAATTCTTGATTACATGCATCTGTTGCTAAACGCAACGCTCTAATCATTTGAGGATAACACTAGTGGATAGATAATTAAAAAATCTGTATTCTCCACGTTTTATTTTAATTTTTAAGTTCGTTTTTCTCTTTTAATTGAAATAATTCCGAAAATTGTGTGACTTCTATGATAAAAGAGCGTGCGCAGAGTGCGGGCGGCATTACGCTGTATGCGTTCGTAGGAGATGGCCGTGTCGCCATCGTCGACGTTCCGTATTTCGCCGCAAACATAATATTATTTGAGTACCTACCAACCGATGCGCTTACGTCATGGTAATATTATTTATACAGTATTGTAAATCGGCCGTATCTGAAATAAATCCTACAGCCGTGCGGTACGTAAACACGCGATAGGGCTGCCTGCCTCCAGCATTTTTACATTTGCCCATTGATTTATATGTTGTATAACTCAATGCATTTGCCTACTTTGTGTTTCCATTTAGTTTTCTGATTGTACTTAAATATACTTTTTTATATAAACAAATATATAATAGGTACTTTGTGAATTGAATAGGAAGTGTTCAATAAAAATGCGTGTCGTTTTTTGATTGGTAGATTTAATTAAAAAACCATGTTTATGTTTGAATAACAAATCGGTCTTATAAATTTGCGGCCGAAAAATATTTGCGCCTCGGCTGAGACGTACGAAATGCTTTATTATTAAAATTTTAAGTATAAAAAATCCGCATTATAATATAAAGCTTAATTAAAAATTGTTTTGGGAAACATGGACAAGTTGGAGTAAAGAAATATCTTTTACTTGGTTATAGATACCTGCAGCCACTTTACAATTTATATGTTTGGTTTTAAATGATGTTTGGATATTTTTTATTTCTATTATATTTTCTGAAAGGGTCCTAGGAAAGGAATTGTCCACCGCGCTACCCCAATGCGTGTTGGCGAACTAATTAATTAAAAACAATTTTTAATTAAGCTTTATATTATAATGCGGATTTTTTATACTTAAAATTTTAATAATAAAGCATTTCGTAAGTCTCAGCCGAGGCGCAAATATTTTTCGGCCGCAAATTTATAAGACCGATTTGTTATTCAAACATAAACATGGTTTTTTAATTAAATCTACCAATCAAAAAACGACACGCATTTTTATTGAACACTTCCTATTCAATTCACAAAGTACCTATTATATATTTGTTTATATAAAAAAGTATATTTAAGTACAATCAACACATTTTTACAATCAATACATTAAGTACAATCAATACAATCAACACATCACAATTAATTTTGCCTTGTCGCTGAGACTCTCCCAACTGGTACAACGAGCAACTAGGGTACCTGATATGAATGGGCATATAGCCAACTACTTTGACCACATACTTACAACCGATCCAGACAGATACAAAGTTTAGTTTACCTCACCCTTGGGAACTTCTGACCACTGTCTGGTGAAATCTGTTGTTATATTCCCCACCCAACTACGATTTCCTCGGTATGCGGCGAGTGTGGCGATATAAGTCAGCAGATTGGGATGGGATGCGGCATTTTTTGCATTTTTTTTTCAGAGACAAACCAAGAGGCTCATTGGTGAGCTTGATTTGCTTGAAACCAACCTTGTCAGCCTCGAGCATAGGCACAGAGTAGCCAGCCTCTCTGTATTTTATGGGATGCATTTCGGAGAGTGTGTGCAGGAATTACACGCTTTAATTCCTCCTTCTCCTTACCACCATTGGACAACCAAGCAGTCGGTGAGTCTTCACCCTTTGTTGTCGATATTATACGCATTAGAACCGAACGGTTTATTTCGGCATTTTTAATGCGTACAGCAAAGGAGTGGAATAATTTGCCGGCATCTATCTTTCCGTTCGAATACAATCTTGGCATCTTCAAGGCAAGAGTGAATAGGCATTTGTTATAAGACCGTACGATTTACCATCTGAGGCTGCATCACCATTTACCACTAGGTGTGATTGTGTTCAAGCGCTGGCCTACAAAAAGTTAAAAAAAATGCTATTCTACTTTAGGTAAGTAGTTCAAATTAGGTCTTAGCAGTAGCTTTAGTTCGTTTTGAAGGGAACCCTTTCATTTTGTATTTGTTGATGTATTTTGTTAGTTGTGTTGGTTGACACAATGCCCATCGCTTCCATTCCTCCCCCGCACGGGCCTGTCTACTCAGAGGGAGCTAAATGCTGGTGGACGCATCTTTGGTCCTCCAATGAGAGGCGAGCTCCGTCAAGTAGTAGGAGAAGATGGCTGAAGCTATTAGAAGACGAACGAAGAATGCTATTTGATCATGCCTGGATAACCAATGTAATTTAATCGTGCCCGTATGGCCGTTAAGAGAGCGGCCGCTCGCCGTTTCCCCCAGGGTAAGTGATCATCCTTTTAATGATTTGTTTTATTTGTTGTTCCTTTATCCGCAACAGCTCATCTCCTGTCTTGTCAGAAAACGCCTCAAATTAATTTCAAAGTAAGTATATTGCCCAAAGTCCGCCACGTGCCACGTCCGCCATTTTGTTTTGGTTCCTTTTGAACCACGGTAATACAATAAAGATATTAAAAGTTACTTTGCAACTTTGTGTCTTCCCTAGTTTGAAGAGCACCTCCCGCCCTCCCTCAATTGCGTGCAATAATGCCGTCACCACCAATCCCAGCACCACTACTCCCAACACCACTACTCTCAATACCACTATTCTAGGAAAGTCAAGCCATCGACGATAATACGACACGTGTTTCTCTTCTAAACGAGGCATCTTCAGGTGATGTTGAATCTACGGTGGCTGGCCGCTAAGTGAGCGGTGAGCCAAAACAGCTGCTATTTATATATGCCGGTACAACCGCTCCCCACCAAAGTATCGAGCGATAAAAAAATCTGCTACTAATGATCATTATTATTATTGCTATATATTGTATTTTTTATATTTTATATATATATATATATATATATTATTAATTGATTGGGAATAACATGAAGTTGCTAGCACTGCTGATTGAACCAAACATTTTGGGCAGCAATATGATGTAGTTTTGTTAATTTAACATAGAGTCTTGCCTGGTTGGCCGTGCTAGCCTTTTTAAGATAATTGATAGAATCAGGCGTTACTTTGCGGAAATAAATTATCAAAAGGATATTAAAAGTTACTTTGCAACCATCCACAAAATTAAAAAAAAAATGATGTATCTTCCCTAGTTTGAAGAGCACCTCCCGCTCTCCCTCAATTTCGTGCACTAATCCCGTCACCACCAATCCCAGCACCACTCCTAACACAACTATTCTACGATAATATGACACGTGTTTCACCACTACACGAGACATCTTCAGGTGATGTTAACTCTACGGTGGCTGACCGCTTAGTGAGCTGCGAGCCAAAACAGCTGCTATTTATACACGCCGGCACAACTGCTCCCAACCAAAGTAGCGAGCGACGGCGTCGTGCGATAAAACACCTGCGACTATCATTATTATTATTACTATATATTTTATTTTTTATATTTTATATATATATATATATATATATATATATATATATATATATATATATATATATATATATATTATTAATTATTTATTAATATTATTTTAAAATTATTATTAGAGATTAGACTTAAAGATGTTTAACAAAGGTGAATTAGAAACATTTGCTTTATTCAGCAGTGCAATGTTACCATTATTATTTTTTTAAATCTCCAACTGTTCTAGCACACACAGTTGCAAGCCCTTATTACAAGTATGTAAGACTTCAAAGGAATGGTCGTTGGCTAGGTTGTGTCCAGTCTCCAAGAGATGTTTAGCAAAATGGGATTAATTAGGATTGCAATTTTTGTACGCGGCTAAATGCTCTTTATATCGTGTCCCGAAATTGCGATCGTCTGACCCACGTAAACGGCGTAACATTCGTCACAAACAAGTTTACAAAAACACGAATTTCGACTAATATTCAACTTATCTTTATTATTACAAATATTCCTAAGAGATATGTTTGTTTTGAATGCCACGTTAACGCCTTTTTGTCTAAGAGTATTAGCTATTTTTACTGATGTGGAGCCCAAGTAGGTCAAACTGCTCACATATCGCCGGACACTTTGAGATTGAGACGCGTACAGAGAATTGCGAACAACCTGCTTTTTTTCTTTTTAATAAGATTATTAATGATATTTTTTGAAAAACCGTTGGAGACTGCAATTTGATGAATTATATTAAGTTCTTTTAAATAATTTTCTTTACTTAATGGAAAGCACGCAAAAGCCATTGGTCCTGCACCTATTTTTCTCCGGTCAGTTCGGATTGCTACCCCATGGGACTACGAGGGTGAGAAAATAAACAGTGCAGCTGTGCTTGCGCATAAACTTGGGCACTATAATCCTGTACCGCGCAGATGGCTTGTCTACGTTGAGACTATCCGCCGTGACCGATATTCGGTCTAGAGGGAATAATTATTATTAGTACTAGTAAAAAAATACGCACAGGTCAAAATGTAATGCGTCTAAATTGAAACACTCCTTTTTATTGAATTCATTTATTTTTTGTACATTTTATTCTATAACGTTAATATACGTACAATAATTTTGTAGAGGCGTACATCTAGGTCGAATAATTCTTGTAACACAACCGCATTTTTTTGTTTAACTAAGTTAAAATCAATAAATTACGAATATACAAGAACATTTCATCTTCATTATTCACGAGTTGCTATCCAATTTCTATGACCTTTAATTATAAATTATATGTACATTTGATATTTACAATCTTAAGAATTTTTTACAGGCTAATATTCGTTTTATTTAATAACTTTTCATATATCGTTGTATTTGATAGATATATTTGATTGATATCATTAAATACGTGTTTACAATGTCTTAAAAAATATTCATGCATTTAAGTTAAAACGCATAAGAATAATGTAAGGAAGATAAAAAACAATGAACACAAGTTTTGTAACAAAAGAGATTGACTATATCGACGAAAATAATTGTACCCACGTGCATATTATCTTTATATATCTCGCTCGCAGTAGCTCGCAATGTAAATACTATTTCAAGACATAAAAACCTAAACTTTTTAACACGGAAAGGGGACAAAAACCTAATTTTTAGTTAAAAAAAACAACGATTTCACATAACATTATATTAGAATATACCACACCATTACAATAAGTAGGTAGTATATCATCTCATTGGTTATGATTATCAAAAAACATATGAAATGTTTTACGAATAGAGAAATTAAATTAATAATTAGCACTCCAACATAAACACCACTCCAAAGTTAAACTAACTTATCGTGGTTGATAATAAGTTTCCGGTGTAAATTTTAGTAATATAAATAAAAACAACCGGCATTTTCGTTACAAACCAAAAGAAACATTTATTATTTCGCTTGGGCATTCATTTAAATTACGATATTATTTAAATTACATAGTTTGAAAGCCAAATATTAATCTTACTAAACGTATCAAATGTAAGTGTCCGTATAAATCTTTTATAATAAATCATATACCTATTAATATAGTCACCTAGAATTCAATATTGATGATAAAGTATTATGAAGGATAAAATTCATCATATCGTTTACAACGAAAATGAAAAAAGCCAAAAAAAGTATTTTTATGTAATGATTTAACACTAACATACTAAAAGACGTACGTGAATCGTAATTCAAACTATATATTGTAAAGAAAGATGAGGTTAATAAATAATCTAAGCGAGGCGGATTTGAACTGGAGCTCTGCATTGCTGCTGGATGTTCGCCGCTTAAAACATGTACGATCACGGATGCAGATTCTGGATGGGAAAAAATATTGGATATACTGATATCCGTACAAATATTTGGTAATTTAAATTCCTATAACATGGTCATAAAGCATCCACAATCCAATTTACAATAGTAGGACCATTACTGCGAGACATATTATTATTCAGAAAACTTACCGGAACTACTTGGTGCGCAAGTATAATTTCCCGAATCATGAGGTAAGGCGCGCGCAATAAGCAGACGGCTGGTACGGGTACGCTGCTCAGTTACAACGCTAATACCACCCCGTTGTGCGTAGTTTACTACTTGGTCACCGCGATACCAGTAAATAAAGCTGTAATATGCAAAATATATTTCTTATAAATATAAAAATGCCATACATAATACATTTTTATAAATAAGTAGTTAGTGATTCAGTATAATTACAGACTGTGTTACATTCCTTCCGTATATATATATATATATATATATATATATATATATATATATGGACCTTTGTTTAAGGTTGGTTGCAAGTATAAATTTAGAATACATTGTGTACTGGCGTATAGAACGCCCCAAAACACGTGACAAAGTTTGATTCTCATTATACGTTTGTATGCGTTAGCAAATTATGTATATTTTTTTAGCTACCATGACTATCGACAAATGATTGTAGTGCGAACACAATACTACAACTGGAAGTTTTAATACCCCTATTACACTACCCAGAGGTGTAATAAGCGAAAGGGAGTAAGGGTCCCTAATTAGGGCGCCAAAGTGGACCCGGTCTGCAGTGCCCTTGCCAACGTGCAGTGTAATAACACTAAAGGAGATAAGGCACTTATTAGATGCGTGACTAGGGATGCAAACGGTACATCAATTCTTTCAAACATCGATATATCGTTCATAAACATGTTTCTTCATGAGCGATGTTTTATGAACGATGTTTTGGCTTGCCGTCAAAGGTTACACAATAACCAACTATTCGAAGGTATAAAATTCCGTATGTTAAAAGTTACGAACAATGATTATCACAAATGTTGTGTCATAAATAGATTGAAATTGTTTTATTCATTAATAATTATATTGTTTGAGCTTAATGAATAGCTTAAGTACAGTCTTATATAAGGTAATAGTTATTTTGTAATGGAAATTATTTTATCGGCTTACGGTACTTCGTATTTCGTTACAATCATTTTTCTGAAATATTGATTTTATGGATGAATGGCTATTCACCTGTTTGTATTTCGCTATAGTTTCGTAGATGTATTCAGAAAATTATATAATACTGAAGGTAACATATTGAACTACCATAAGAAATTGACGCACCACATCATAAGAAATAAAACTAAAGCAGAAGACGAGTTTCATATATTATTACATGTAGGATGGCATGAAAGGGTTATTTCCCGGGCTTATTATAACATAAGATCTATTTGCCTATCGTGGTAACTTCGGTATCCCGTGAGCAGTTATTTTCAGAGGCTGATCTACAATCACCCAGGAGAGAAACCGTTTTCTAGGCGCCAGGTTGTAAAAATTATTATTTTAAAATTTTATTTGAAAGAAATAAATGTCAGAATAAAAAAATATTAAATTAATTCTTGTTTTCTGATAATTATTCTGTAAAATTAAATATGTGAAAATAAATGTTGTAAAACTTCCTAAAATAACATAAATAAAATGTTTGATTATTATACTTTTTTGTGTCATTTCTTATTGATTATTTATTCCATATATATGTGTTTATATTTTATTTATATTTCAATGGTGATAAAAACATTGAAAAATCAATATATCGTACACAAGCTTCGATGTTTTTAATGAGCGACGTTGTATCCTATAGGTGTGCTTACTCGGAAAAATTACGACTCGAGTTAACTCGAGTTGAAATTCACCCAACTGGAACTAAAATCTAGTTCCGCAACTATAGTTAACAGGTCGAAACAGTAAATGATCTTGTTACAACTACTTTAAAAATATCGATCCAATAAATATATATATATATATATATATATATACTTTTTTCACTTGTTCATCCCTATGACTGAGTAAGGGCGTAAAATCAGGGTAGTGTAACAAATGACGTCCCTAAGTAGGGGCCACGCCTACCCTTCATTCAGGGCCCTGATTCAGAGTAGTGTAATAGGGACATAAGGGAGCGATAAGAAAGTTCAACAAACTTTGTTTAGTACAGGGAATTGAATAACTTTAAAAATTAACTGATTTTGTTATCGTTATAGTTCGAAAATAAATAACAATAATTTTTATTATAATGGATATCTATGCGGTTTTCTCATCTGGTTTGTCTCATCAGTTGAATAAATATATAACTGTAAATGAAAATGATAAATATACGTTAATATCAATAAATTAAAATAAATACATAAATAAATAAAAACCCACCCAGATGGAAACCCTCGGCAGGGGCACCAAACAGCGGAGGGTTAGGGGTGAAGAGAGAAAAACCGGCTAACGATGCTGGCGGTATCGAGAAGCACTACCTTCTGCAATTGAGCTTGTAGCGGTCCGTCACGGAGTCCCATTCACCCATTCACAGAAACGACTACAGGTATAATTTCGGTCGGCAGTCCACCTCACATGTCGGTCACATCATTAGCCAGGTTCAGATATTTTGTTCGCTTATCTGTTCCGGCTTTCACGAGGTTCTCGTCATACGTAATGGTAATGTCGACCAAAAATATCCTTGATTGTGCCCAGTCCATCAGCACAGTATCAGACTTAGTCGCAAGAATAGTTCTGTCTGTGATGATGGCCCGGTCTCAGTAGACCCTGGCGTGGTCATATTCGAGCAAGGCAAGTACCTGTAATACGGCAATTTCCGGTCTGTGAGACCGTATTTCAGAGCGAGCTCCTGGTTTAAAATTCTGGCTACTAGGTTGTGCCTGTGCAAGTACTCAGAGTTAGATAGCGCCGAATAACCGGATATGACATAATTAAGTGACTTACTCGTATGGCGACCAGCTCGAGAAATGTCGACGGTGCCATCCCTTAGGATGTATCCCCGATAGTTGTTGTTCTTAATAACCGGACCCTGTATCGCACAGACAAGACTCTAGGTTTCTCCAAAGTCATAAAAACGAAGCCAGTGGAGGAAGGTAACTGTATCTACGAAAGACTCATGTAGAGCCTTGTAGAACCTCCCGTGGAGCTCTTTCTTCTTCCATACGGTCTCCCGGTCGGAAATGCTCAGCACTGCCAGGTCTTGCCATTATTCTTTGGCTAAGGGTAGTGGGCTAAGCCCTTTATAATAAGAAATGTCGTCCCTATAGTGTCGATCACCCAATCTCGTCAGAAAGTAGTTACGGAGGCTACACACGTCGTGATTATGCATTGTAAGCGCGCTTAAAAATCCACGCCCACCAAGTTTCAGCAGCAAGTACATCCTCATAATTAACGATTTCGGGTGATGCATCCTATGGAACGTCATAATAGTGTGGACTTTTTCATTCTGAGCACGCGATATCACCTGATTTAAATCTAGGTGACGAAAGATTTGCGTTTTCTAAATGGATGTCAGTGTCTTATATATGGTAGGTAGACACGGGACGGGGTGGTATTTGCTCGGGTCTGTGGCATACCGGTCTTTAGGAACCAAATGAGTAATCCTAGTAGTAAAGAGGCTCAGGAGTGACTTATGGTCGAGTGCCTCTTAAAACGAACCCCTTCTTTAGTGTAGCAGCGCGTCAAATCCCGGACTTTTCCAGTTCAGAGCCCTATGGAGCACCTCAGCTTCGTCATTCAGCGTTACGATGTCGGAGTCCATGGGCGTAGCACTCGCACACTGACTCGCCACAACTTCTGTCAAAGGGCCTTCGTTGTTGTTTAAGGGTCTGACCACAGGCTGCGCCAGAAGGCAACAGTGTCAACGTGATTCGGTGAGCCCATGCTACGTCCCTCCAATAATTCGTAGAGCTTCTTCTGATGACTCTGAAGGAGACGATTCTCTGCTACAAGTCGTCTATGCGCTGTTTTTACGTTATATCTGGCTGGACAAACTAATATTTGTCCCAGCTAATGCCATCCCGATGATGCGCCCCATTCTTGGCCTGTTATTGCCTGACCTGAAGCATATCAGTCTGCCGATGAGGGTCCTAGCCTTTGGGATACGTTCCTTAATTCTTATTCTCCAGGCTGGGATGGCGCTACTTTCTCAAGTGCCAAGTGCCAGTGCGGCCCCAAAAATAATTGAGTTCGTCGCGTCATGAGTTGCATTTGCAATTCCCATGGTTTTGCAGTTATTCATGAGCGCATGAGCCGCATGCTCGTTTTCCCTCTCTCAATTAATAAAATCTCTGAATAGGTGAGTATATTTGTAAATATAGTATATAAAAAATTTAAAAAAAATCCTCAAGAAACAGATCAGAAAGTTTATTTTCGAGCCATGAGCCTTGGAGAAAAATGTTTACGGTCTTAGAAGTTTGCCTGAGAATTCTATTTTTAACATTGTAAATAAAATATTAACAGATGGCTACTTAAATGAAAAATAAAACAGCAAGTATGTACTGCGTGTCTCCGTTTTTTATTGCACCAGTAAATCATTTCAGTCTTTTTAAACAGGTTCCTTAGTTAAGTTATTGAGTTAACAATTTTAAGCAGAATGTCAAAGTAAATTTGTATAACATATTATATTATTAAATATCTATGACCAAATTATGGCGCACCAATCCAAAAAACAAATCTGAAAAAAGTATCGTATAAAAAGTTAAAATCAAAATAAAGCTACGTTTTTACAACGCAAATCGAACATTTATTTACATTCCTCTTCTTATTTCTTTATTTATACACTTTATTGTACTAAAGATACAAACGGTGGACTTAATGCCATATGACATTTTTACTAGTCAACCGGACCACCCTTTCTTATTGTGTGGGCTATCGATTCATTTTAAACATTCTAGATAGATATCAACAATCATTTCGATAAAGTTTTGTCAATACCTAGCGTAAAATATAAAATAGTTTAATGAAAAACGTCTCTACCAAAATCATGAAAATTGTCAACGACGTGACTTTTTACTTTGCAAAATAGAAAAATTAACAAAGTTATTGAAATTATTCTTGGTTTTAAAAAGTATAAAACATACAAATCTAAACCGGAAATAAAGGAGGCATAGCGTCATATCAGCGATGACGTCCTGAAAAATAACCTGTGAAATGTGCAATTATCAGGATTATTTCTCTTACAGTGCAGCCACTCACAAAAAATTGAAAAAAAAAACAACGATTAAACTTAAAAATATCCAAAACACTGAGGAGCTCACTCCTTGCGTGCCGACTTGTGACGACCTGTCATCCAAAATCAGTCTCAGAATCATTATACTCGTAATTGCTATTCTTTTCAATCTTAGTAAATTGTTGTAAGGAATATTCTTCTCTCCTGTACGCTATGGCCATCTAGTATGTATGAATTGTATGGACTGCAGTAGCGATTTACCATCAAGTAGACTGTATATTTGTTTGTCACACAGTTGAAAAAAAAACAATATAAATGTAGAAAATATTTAAAAAAATGGTGTAATACAATTTAACAGTTATATATTATTTAAGGTATTATTGGTTAACGACTGATTTACTTTAATTAAAAAATAACCTGTTTGAAGAAAGAATCTAAATAAATATGTACCATAAAAAGTCGTGCATACATAAAATAAATTAAAAAAGAAAAGTCGGATAAATTAGATGGAGTATTTCTAATATCAATGATCCCAAAAGGGCTTGCTTTTAAAAGAGATCTTATTAGCAAATTCTTTAATACCAGCAGCGAAGACACTCCAAACAAGTTTAGACTGTATGGTGAAGGAAAATTCGGATCACTTAAAATCGAATTAGGTGTCAGAAAATTGGGAAGTAATGTTTTTAATAAATAGAAAACCAATTTTGAGATCGGAACGACAAAAGAAAAGGTAGTCTTACTTGCGTAAGCCAAAGATGATTCTATGCATTGTTGTATAAGATACATCTTCGGGCAAAAAAATGATTACGGTTCAAATGCTCCAACTTATACGGAAGAGGATACAACAGATCTGGGTATACACATCAGTATAATCCATACTAAGAAACACTGAAGTCTCAACAAGCATATTAAGCTTGTATTTAGAGGACAGTAAGTTTTAAGATTTCAAATGAAACGCAAGGCGGCAATGATATATAAATTTACCCAAGTTAAAGTAAATATTTGACATAATGCTCAGCTTACACAATAAAAACTTAAAAATAAATGTATCTTTTTAAGTAAATTCCAAAACAGATATTAATGACGAAATATGTAAGACGGTATGTAAAAACGAATATTATATGTTTTAAGGAAAATGTGTATTACAGAAAGTTGTAATAAAAATGTATAAGTATATGTTGAGAGAAAAAATGGTAAATGAAGACCTAATATTGTTCATATTTAGTAAAGTTACAATATGTTCATCACATTGTTTTTACGCTTATACTCTTACCTTGGTGGGTCAGGAGCGTGTTTTGTAAGGCAAGTGAGATTAATGTCCGATCCAGCTCTGACAAACAACTCGGGTCCCGATAATATTTCAGCTTTCGATACTGTTGAAATTAAGAATAATTTATCATACCTGCTTTTCTTCATGAAAATAACAATTTTCTAATGCTATATGGGACAATTACATTTTATTACAATTCACAGTTTGTTTTAATTTAGTCTACATACTAACCAACGACAGTAAGGCGAAATGAGAGGCTAATCTTTGGTTCCGTCGATACTTGACACTCGTAAGCTCCAGAATCTCGAGGCTGAGCAGGTGATATTCTCAATGTCCATTCATCCGAACCATCCGCATGAAGTGCCGCAAAACGTGCATCGCTACTATATGTATGTACACCCACTGTTAAAATGTGCAAATCACGCTTCCGTATCCAAGAAACCTGTGTACAAGCAAAATAAAGGCATTGTTAAAAATTTACATTTACCTTATCGAGAATGCTTGTATTGCTAAGGCGCGATATCGTGGTCAATATTAAAATAATCTATTAAAATTTTTTGGATTTACTTGTTATGTTCTCTTTGTTCATTACTTGAACAACGTCGTTGATATGTTTAATTGAGTTCGAAATAATTTGTAGAACACAGATAATAATTAGGGTGACATATTAATGATTCACATCGCTCAACATTTTATATTGTTAACAGATAACATGTATTTATTTTATCTGCAAAATAACATATGTGTAGTTAGCATTTATAATAATATTGCTTGTGGGAAAGTTACTAAATTAACTTACATTCCACCTGATGATAAGAAAATACTGTGGAAAATAGATAAACCTAAGACGTAAAACCATGTTTAATCGAATAAGGCAAAATGAGTGGTGTCAAAACTAAGGACTAAGCTGAAAAATGACTTTCGGTCTGTATCATACGGATCGTAAAATGGGATGATAAGAAGGAGATATCAAACAGACTCTTAGACAGAAAAGGTGCCTTGTCACTTTGTACATATCATTTTTTATAAAATTAAGTGACAAGTGAAGGCAAGGACAATAATGTAGATTAATCCAGTGTTTTTTATTAAATATACTAAAATTGATTAAAGGAAGAAGGATATTTAAAAAATAGTATTTTTAGCTATATTTTTAATATCCTTTTTTAATATATTTATGCAAGGGAACGCCGGAAACAGCGTTTGTTCTTAGACAAAGTATTTTCTTTGGGTAATACTAAATTTAAATCGGTGCAAATGGCATATTTAGTAATTGCTGAAATATATCGCCCGATTCAAATAATCCATATTCACTGTGAGATATTGGTCACATATTTGTTTTCGCATCATTTCGGCACTAGTGTATGTACTTAATCAGTAGCTAATGTTTTATGTGGACAGCCATTAGACTTTTTTATATATTTACCTTGTAATTTAAAGGAAAATTTGTCACAAATACACAATGTCAAAAATGCTTTAAGATTGACGGACCCATAACTATCTAGTCCCAGACTGGTCACGAAGAGCAGCTTGATATGCACAAGATGTCTGGCATCTGGCATGAATTTTAATAAACAACACTAAAAGTGATACTGAACTCGAAAATTTTACAGAATATTCCTGGTTTATGACCTACATCTGTGCCGCTTTAAGCGTGAATAAGCTATAAACATTTATTAAAACCAACTTTCACATTTATAATATTAGAGATAATATTTTTATAATTTTTTTATTATGATGTACTAGTGTGTTAGCGGTTGTTTTGTCTTTTTAAATTGACGATTAAAATAACAGTAAATAAATTTATGAGATTTTCTAGGTATGACGACCTACATTGAATTTCTAAATTCATTGATTGACGGTAGGATGAGCGTGAAAGAGTGTGGAAAATTCATAAAACGTCACCAAAATAAGCGCGGGGTTCTCCAATAGTAACAAGCAGAGAAAATTATTAATGCTGCAATGTTGAACCTACAAACATTATATTTTTTGTATTTTGAATAGATTATCTCATTACCTATACATTAGGTATATTCGCTACATGTAAGGACAATTTAACATGTTTTTCAGAAATCATACACAGACTTTAGTCTATAAAGAATGTTTCAATAATAATAATATTATAATATTTTACTTACAGATCTATCAGCAAGATTCCTTACTCGGCAGTGCAAAAACGCCGGTTGTCCCACCGCTGCGGTGGTTTCACGCTTCGTACTGTTGTCAAAATAAGGCTGTCCCAAAGGCTCCCAACTTCCAGAACGGGCTGATACATCTTTACAATATTGTAAAATAATAAAATATAAATCAGTGACATACATTTTAAGAAACTATAAAGTGCACAAACGCATTACTTTATCAGATATATTGAGAACATAACCATAATTAACAACGTGCGTTATAAATAAATACCAAGGTGTTCTATTATTGGTCACATAATGGATATGTGATCGCTGTAAAATCCCTTTAGCCAAGCGCTTTTGCTTGTCGGAAGTGTACCTAACTGTTGTTTCCACATGTTATTACTTTGGTAGTAGTCACTGGGCATGAAATGACGCAGTGAATTTAATATTCTATAAAATCGTTATCAATAAACAAATATTAACCTATACACGTTACAAAATAACAAATAGTTCTCTTCTGAGAAAGTGAGGTTTTTGTTAACCAGTGTAGATTTTGATTTTCTAAGAACTTGAGCTACAAAATGGCCAAAATCTGGTAATTTTGTGCCGCATAAAAATGAAACAAATTTTGATAAAAATAACAAATTAATCAATTGGATAGTTACAAATTATATACCAAAATTACAGTGTAGATTACAGTGTAGGTGTAGTAATAATTGGCCACATGGAAATGCAGAATCTTTACTTGGCAACCTACAGCAGATGGTAAAATAAGCCTCTGAGATTGATCTTAGAGGTTTTCAGAGAGTATTATATTTTAATTTATAGACTATAACTTCAAATATGAAACGAGGCCAAAAGTTAAACACTTTCATAAATCAGTATAATTTTTATAAAACCTATACTGCACTGCAACAATTTGACAGTGTATATATTTCATAATTTTATTCGACAAAAGCTGTACGATACCCTATTTTAACCTCTCATCTGTTAAATTTTCCTAAATCCTTTCTAGGTTGGTGTCTACGTCAGGAAAGGAATAATATTTGCCAAATTTGTGTGTGTGAAAAAGTGTACCTGACTGCCTTTGAAGTTTTTAAATCACTTAGATCGTGCACACACACCCACACGCACACGCACACACACACACACAAAAACCCGCGCGCGCGCACGCATAAGCACGCGAATGCATACACACACGCGCACACAGCTACGCACACACAGACACATCAGTGCACACACGCACGCACACACACATGCGCACGCTCACACATGCACACACACACACACCCGCGCGTGCAAGCACACACTCACACCCGCACGCACACTCACACACACACACGCACGCACGCGCGCACTCACACACATTCACAAGCACGAACTAACACGCGCACACACACATCCAAACACACACACACACACACACACACACACACACACACACACACACAAACTCGCGCAAACATCTTCGCAATAAAACTCGCCGAAGTTTTTTTTTAAGATTCTTAACAATGCTATAAACGTTACTAATAATCCACTTAACCACTCCTGGTAAGCTTAAATTGCTTGTGTTACGAGTAGTTCACGCCAGTAGTCGAATGGCGGATTCGAAACCACGACCTTTTTGGGTTCGCGGTCCGCGCCCTGCCATTAGGCTACTGTCGCTTCATTTTGTTTGATCCGTAAACGCAGCAGATAACGCATCTTTCTTACCTTACAACTCTGTCGAAGTAGTCTACTGGGATCCCTGTCACACTCATAACGCGACGTTGCCGTTTTGTGTTCGAGAAATGTCACATATAAGTTAAATATACTCTGGAGCTAAGAAATCATATTCAGTATGATAATGATTTCTTAAATTTACGCGAACACTACACATTGAATAAAACTAAATTTACGGATTTTATCGCGTTGTTTCACTACTTTTACTTATTTTTAATTCCCGACGTTTCGGGTGCTTTACAGCAACCATGGTCACGGGGGGGACTGAGATGTTTTACGTCCCAATGTCATAGTTAGTCCACTACCAAATGTAAGAATAAACGAAAAATCCGTAATTAGTTTTATTCAGTATGATTTTTTCGACCGTTGATGGATCAACAAATGTTGGTCAACACGCTGACGAGTATGTTGAAAACCTGTTAATCCAGATCTACCGACGCCACACGCGCAACAAGGATAGATCAAACACATATATACGAGGGTGACACTGAAAGTTCTTAGAAAATTGAAAACTGAACAAACTAGCAAGTAATTACTTTTATTATATCTTTTCAAAATAGTGTCCATTTACATCAATACATCGCTGCATCTGATGGAACCACTGAGAAAAGCACTTTGCCCACTCGTCCTTAGAAATTTTGAAATTTTGAAACGCAGCCACTGTTTCAAACAACTCCTCGGAAGGAAACGCCCAGACAGCAGACTGTCTTTTAATTTCAGGCTCATTACAATAAATCCAGCTTTTGTCATCCGTAAGTGTGTCGAACACAGCATTTGAGTCACCTCCGTTAAATCTTTGAACTATTTCACGACACCCATCAACACGACGGACTTTTTGGGCCTCTTTCAAATTATGAGGTATCTCCCAGGCAAAAATCTTCACTAGATGTTCATGAAAGATTTTGTGCACTTGACTCATACCAGTGCCTAAGCTTGCCCAAATCAATCATACGCCGCACACAACTGATTTTATCTTCAGTCGTCGCCGTAGAAGGCCGTTCCTCACGCAGATCATGGGTGAGATAAGTGCAACCACGTTTAAACTCATTAAACCAGTTGTAAATGGTGGCACGAGATGGTGCTTCATCATGAAAGGCCAATCGAAGTCTATAGTAACTTTCTTGTTGACATAAATGACATCAAATGTCATAAAAACCATTGTACGAAAATTTTCTCGCGTTAAATTCATGCTGACGTGACAACGACAATTTTTAATTTGCCGCTATATCATAATCAATGACAAATTAATAAAATACATACACAACTAGCTTGCCAGGAAGAAGTTGTTCTGCCCTTTTCGAGAACTCTCTGTCATGTCCCCTATTAAAAATCCTTAAATTCGCAAAAAAAATTGTGGGTCACTCATGGACAAAAAAACTATCCTATTTCTCAAGTTGGGCCAAACTGTACACGGTGTGCAAATTTGATTAAAATCGGTTAAGTAGTTTAGGAGTCAATCGCGGACAAACAAAGTGATACGTAATTTATATATATTAAGATAATATTGGCAGAGTTTCATTTCAAAAATTAGAACTTATTCTTTTTATTATATCTTTTACAAGTAGCCAGTTCTAAAAACTTTAAGTGCCGCCCTCCTGATCTATGCTTACAACCAACCTTAAACAAAGGAGACTATTAATACTCAAGACCTATATATGCAGGTCTTTAGTCTTAATATATTTATTTCAAAGAGAATAAAAGATTTTTTTCAAAGAGCCTTCGAATTTTTCACACTGAACGCGAACAAAACAAATACTAACACGGAATTGAAATCATAAATGTTACGAAACTACTGACAAAAGCGAAAAGATTTGCCGACTGACTATTATATATCAGTTTCGTGTGTCATGCCTGATGATAATCAAGGACACGCGCACATGCCGAATATCACATACTGGATATTAGATAAAAACAATCGGAAACGCATTTATTATAGTGCACTTTGTGCGCAAGAACAGGTTTTGATTTTCCGTTGAGGTAGGTAAAACCCTTTATCACCCTTTATCTTTATCTACATACATCTTTTTCTTTATATATATATATATATATATATATATATATATATATATATATATATATATATATATATTATCTTTAACCCTATATCAGTGCTTGAATTTATGTGTTCTAGTCTGAAAGGTATTAAGAGCCAGTAAAATAATACTTCCTGGCTTCGAGCTTTGAGATAGATCTTTCTGATAGGGAAACGCATTAGTTATTTTTAGTCTGACCTGGGATTAATATCTGGGACCACAATATCAGAAATTGTACTTACGACCGCTAAACTAACGAGGCCTGCATTTAAAAACATGGGTGTGGGTACGATAGCTATTTGGAATGTATTTTTTGTATTAAATTGTAAGCAATCAATTGCTGAACCGAATTGAATGAAAACATAAAAATTGCAAATCAATTATGTCATTTGGAGATAGTTCACTCGTTTTTGAAATGCGCGGGAAGAAATAGTTCCATAGCTGTACTTTAGTGCCTGCACATTCGTACACTTACATAAACACATAAAAGGACGCTCCAACATCAAGAAATAATGTAAATGCCTTTTAATAAAGCACAATCCACATTTTTTCCACTTTTTATGAAACCATACAAAAATAAATTCAAGCTCACGCGTAATAACTGTAGTTTAAGAATAATAAAAAAAACAAAAAAAAGGTAATGTTAAGAAAATACAGATACAAAAAAAATCTTCGCATATAAAACACAAAAAATGTTTCCACCTATATCCGTTATAGACTTTGTATCCATCCAACCTATTTTGATGAAATTTTTCATTTCTGTTTGAATGGGTCTCTAAATAGTTTTATTCAACTTTGGACCCCGTAGGTGTCGCTGTCTGAACTAACTGCGTCCATCGAATTTCTGCACGTTTTACCATCTCGTAATCCTTCTTGGCACCCAACCTACAATACTTGGCTGCCACTTGGAAACTTCCTTACCCATCGTTGTCGTTTCTTCGAACAGTTTCCACAACCGATTGGAAAGAAAGGTAAATAATACCAGGTCATTAGCCGTTTCTAGTTAAATTACCCAATACAAAGTCAAAAATTACGAAAAAACTCTTACGCTTCAATCTTGTCGTTATAAATCTGGAGTATAGCCGTAAAATAAACTAGGATTATATAAAACCTTACATAATGTACTTTACGTTTATGATGTAATCTCAACTTTTTCTCAAATTTAACCTAATGATATATAATATTACTAAATTGGAAAATTTAAAGTACCGTATACTCGTAGTATTTAAATAAATTGCATACTCTCCTGCATACACGAACGTACAAGGGACCATTTATGCAGTAACAAGTGTTCGATACAGTGTCAAAACGCAAGTAGATACATTATATTAAAATCGGATGTATTGTAATTTGTTGTCGTCCTTAGAAATAATTTCTTTTTTTGCACAAATGTTGTC